TAATATTGGGATGAGAATTCGGATAGATACTCGACATCAGGAGTTGATTGGGGAATACTTCCGATAAAGTATTGATTTATTAAACCTACGTCATTAAAAGGGTGTACGTTAGGTAAATCATTGTGGTACGTCATATTACTCCAGGATTTTATTTTTTTCCAGAATAAGGTCGAGTTACGGCCACATGAGGCCAGACTGTGACGGTAATATGCTTGTTTTTCTAGTATTATAGCAGAATTGTAATAGTTTCTTAGTTGGCAATAATAATTTTTGTGTTCAAGTTTTAAAGTTTTTTTGTAACGATTCCACGCCTTCTGCTTTATTTGTTTTAGGAATTTCAAATTATTAGTAAACCAGGTATAGTTGTTGCGCATTATTTTTACTGTCTACTGTCTACGACAGTAGACAGCCGTTAAACCAATCTACCTTTTCATCTAGGCCAGAAATATCATAAATTTTATTCCAATTCATTTTAGCTGCATCTTCGAAAAATAACTCAGAATTGAACTTCTTAAAAGATCTAACTCTTTTAAACTGAGGCAAGCACTTAGGCAAATCTAGCGCTAGTTCACATGAAATTATGTTGTGCTCTGATAGGCAACAATCATGAACGCAGCTATTATAGCAAAGAATATTAGGACTAATAAATATTAAATCTAATAACGATTCACTCGTAGAAGTAACACGTGTTGGAGAGTCAATTAATTGAGAGAAATTATAGTTATTCATGAGATTTAACAAATAATTTGAATCACGGTCATCTACAAGTAAATCTGCGTTAAAATCGCCAAGGAGAATAATGTTGACGTAGTTATTAATTGCTAGAAAATTAAAAATATCTTCTAAGACAGCAAAACAAGAATAATGAATTTTTGGGGGTTTATAAATCACACCAATAATTAAAATTTCTTTTTTAACAATGGTTTTGACAAATAGGAATTCTAAATCAGTTGGAATATTAATAGGTATATCAATAACTGTAAAGTTAAACATTGCTGGTACATATAATGCTAACCCACCTCCTCTAGATGGACGATCTTTACGTATCATGTTATAATTAGGAATAGAAATTATAGAGTCTAATATAAGTGGCTGAAGCCATGTCTCTGTTACGGCAAAAACAGAGAGGGGATTTTGAAGAACGAAGTTTCTAAAGATATCAAATTTGTTGACTAGAGATCTTACATTCATATGAAAGAATATGAGCCTTTTACATTCTCTGTTAAGATTAAAATTATTATTATTAGTTTGTACACAATTTACGTAGTTAAAGGATTGAGATTGGTTTGGGGAAAATTTTGTTTCATACGCGGCAGGAAATATTTATTTACATACGTATTTGCTGGCCAGAAGTCAGGAGTCAGTAGAACAGTTTGATGTATGAGAGGAGCTCGTATTGTGAACACACTAGACGTACTTCTTTTGTTAAGATGTTCAGGTTTTTCGACAATAAAATTGGCTTCACTATCAAGTTCGTGTAGGACATCAAGGATATCTTGATGTCCTTGATGTCCTATTGAAATTAGAAATTCTATTGTCAATAATGATGTATGGATTAGCATCGATGAGACGACGGACAAATTAGAAAGATACATAGCCCATTTAGTAATTGGAAAGTTATCTTCTGAAGAAGCTGGCCGTCCATTTCTTAGCTTTGAAGCACCTTGATAAAACTAATAGCAATACAATCTCGAGACTTATAAACGAATCATTGGGTGTGCTATTGATAATTTTAAGCATTGAAATTATTATAATTTATTTAATTGTTAATTTGTAGCTTTATTGTGGCCAAAGGGAACTGAACACAAAAAAGTTAAATGGTTTGTATCAGATGGTGCATCATACATGATCAAAACTGGTACTTCTTTGAAGATGTTTTATGAAAATATAACACACTTAACATGTATGGCACATAGGTTACATTTAGTATCTCAAACAATTAGACTGAAAAGCACCAATAAGAGTAGAGTTTTATAAGAACAGTTTACCAAATACACCTCTCCCACCTGAACCTGTGTTAACCACTTGGATTCAAGCAGCATTGTTTTATGCACAACACTTTGATGTTTTAAAACAAGTCAGTAAATATATAATGGTTTTTTACTATCATTCTTATATTGAATATTTTTAGGTGGTAATGTCATTTGAAGCCACAGATGCACAAAGCATTAAAAAAGCTCAAGAATTCCTGAATAAAGTAAACGTAAAAAATGAACTCTTGTACATTAAAACTCACTTTAAAATTAATGCTGATGCAATAGAACAATTAGAAACTATAGGTTTAAAATTAAACCAAAGTATGGGAATTGTGGAAAAAGTATATACATCTTTCAAAAACACACCAGGAAAGGTGGGGGAAATTATGTTCTCTATTAAAAAAGAATTCAGGATGCGATTTTATATGTTCAGTAAAAAACGTAATTTGCGGTAATGGAAATGCTACCAACAATACATAGATAAATGAAAACGTAGATTGTTCAATATTTAATTTTGCACCTATCATTTCTTGTGATGTGGAACGCACGTTTTCAAAACTTAAAGGTGTTTTAAGCGATCAAAGGTGTAAATTTACAATCGAAAATTTAGAGAAATATATCGTTTGCTTTTGTAACTCATTTTAAATACCTGAATTAATATTTTTTTTTTGTTCAATGCGACTTGCTTTAATTTGATCGCCATTTTTTTGCGATAACTTAGAATTAGTGGACGTAACTATAGATCGTTTATTTATTTAATAATTTTTTTTTTTGTTACACAAAATATTTGTTTCTATAATGTTTTGTTTAATGTTTTTTTTTTAATATATATTTTTTTGATGTATGCTTTTACGTTGAGCAAATATTTTTTCCTCCAGGTTTTTAACCTAAACTAAGATTTATATAACCTAACTCGTCAATTTTGGGACCTTAAATCCGAAGCTTATATTATAAGATAAAATTAGTTCTTGAGACTAGCATTTAGTGGAAATCAGGAAGTCGCACATTAACAAATCGAACTCCATAAGCACATATAAGTGTATTGAGCAACTTGCTGATGTTGAAATTTTCACCATGGTTTCTCCCCAACAGTCACTATTTTTTTCCTTCATCTACAAGGTCAAAAAGAAACCTTGTCCCTGGAATTACCAGACGTGTAAATACCCACTGCGTGTGTTATAAAACGAGCACTGGTGGAGAGTGCACTGAACGAGTGTGATTATTGATTAAGTTGCTAAAATGTTTAAACTTCTAGTTATAGTATATATTTGCAATCACCATAAACCAAATTTATGGGGAAAACATAATTGGTAAGTTAAATGAAATCAAAGTATGCCATCATTTATAATGTATAGACAGTGTCCCTTTTTTGTTTTTCTTGAAACTAAGCAGTTCAATTACAGGAAACCCCTGCACCCTCAAGTCGTCTAACTCTTCAGGAGTATGCAAACTATTAAAGGAGTGTGAGGCGGCTCAAGACGAAGTAAAATCTGGTCACAATGCGCCCCAAACTTGCGGCTACCAAGGAATCCAATCCGTAGTTTGTTGTCCAAACTCTCGTCGACCAGGAGATATAAGCGAAAGAAGTGTGTAAAAAAGCAGATTTTGTGTAGTTACAAAACAAACCAAATTCAAATTGCTTACATTTTGGCTTTTTTTTTCTTAATATGTGTAGACTTATTTTGACAACAAGAAACTTAAAACATGTCTAAATGGTATTTTTTTGTAGTAATCAACTTAAATCCTCCAATTTTCTTCTACTGTAATAAGCCTATTATTATATTAAAAAAAAAAACTCAAAACTTTTCATATTATGAATTGTTTGTATACCTTAGTTTTGAGGATTATCTTCGGTGTAGAAATTTTAATAGTTTACTGGTTTAATTTATTGTATTTGACTTGCGTAAAACTGTATTTGCAAATTTTTAACACCAATAAAGTATTGATTGATTGATTGATTGATTGATTGATTGATTAATTAAATACGGCAAAAGTTGAACATTAAAGTTACTATCAACGGCAAGTTGGCAACGGATTTTAAACTTTTACAACTGATATCTAAAATTGTGTCCTCATCAAATTTTTCGAATCACAAAAGCTAATTGTTCCAATCACTGTTGCCTATTCGTAATGCATATTGTGTTGCATAACCTCAAACAATAGTGATAGCATCTGGTGAACAAATTCTCAAACATAAGTGACCTTGTAGATATTTAATTTTCAAACAAATTCTAGTTTAATGTATAGTGTTTTCTTTCAACACCAAGATAGTCAAACATGTTATCAGTTTCTTTTTAGGAAAAGAAGACTTCGTATAATAAGAAAAATTGGACAAAATATAAGCCCCGCCCACCCTCCCCTTCTCAATTGTAATGAATGTTTTATTCATAGTGAGCAGAAGGGCGGAGTTTAGTTGCAAATTCTCGTTTCTCTACAAAAAATTACCATATGAAATTCATCACAAGTGAAATTGGGGCGAGTGGGTGGAGCTTAACCTTTGTTTTTTTTTTAATATACAGAGTTTTCTTTCAACCACAGGATAGTCAAACATGTTTTCACTTTCTTGTTGAGAAAAAAATACTTCGTACATTAAGAAAAAATGGACAAAATATAAGTCCCGCCCACCCACCCGTTCTCAATTGTGATGAATGTTTTATTCATAGTGAGCAGAAGGGCATTTTTACTTGCAAATCTTCATTCCTCTACAAAAAATTACCGTATGAAATTCATCACAAATGGGATTGGGGCGGGTGGGTGGGGCTTAATCTTTGTTTTTTTTTTTATAATATACAGAGTTTTCTTTCAACCACAGGATAGTTCCAACATGTTTTCAGTTTCTTGTTGAAAAAAAAGACTTCGTATATTAAGAAAAAATTGGTCTAAAGAGTTTAGACAGTACTTCCCTCGCTGCTAGAATGTAGAGAATATTCTTCGTATATACAAGAGAAACAATTATGTGGACATAAAATTGTCCAGCTGATTGTTGGAGCATAACGACCTGCTGAGCGAAAAGAGTTTCCGCATATGGCAGTCTTAGGATTTCAGAACGAAGATTCTGAGAATCTTACGTGGTTATGTGGAGGATCACTTATCAGTGAAGAATATATTTTGACAGATGCACATTGCTTCCTTCCAGGTGGCTAGTAAGTTTCAAAATAATTAATTAATAAGTCAAAAAATATTAGTAGTATTTGGAGTATTGAATTTGTGTCGAACTATTTAAGTCTTGAACCAAAATCAGTGTTGTTGGGGGTCACAGATGTTAACGACACTAACCACAGACAAGAAATAAAAATAGCAAGTATAGTGGTACATCCAGAATTTAAATTTACTACCCGTGACAACGACATAGCACTTTTAAAATTGGAAAAACCCGTAGAGTTAAATTCTTATGTTCACCCGGCTTGTCTCAACACACACTTCGACACTCCCGTTTCGCGAGTTATTGCAACTGGATGGGCATATACACGGTATAGAGGAAGCGACAGTGAGAGAGTGTTTAAAATAACACAAGATATTGTAGACCATCAAACTTGTAATAACAGGTTCAAAAGCGTGAAAAGGCTAATTGTAAATGACACGCAAATTTGCACAAGCGACAAGATTGGAGGAAAGGCTTGTCAGGTTAGTTAAAAATGAATAATAATAATAATCAGTAATATGAGAGAAGACAAAAATATGTCTGACTTTTTAGAGTAATTCTGGTGGTCCGCTCCAAATATATCGAATTGACGACGCTACCTCTTGTATGTATGATATAGTCGGCTTAACTTCAAATTTCGGCCAATTCTTGACTTTTTTCCAGAATTCGTTAATTCATTCAGTGCATTGAAATATCGCAATTTTTAAAAATTTAAAAAAATTCAATACAACACGTGCAGAAAGAAGATTTAGAGTCATTTTTGCATCGACTTCAAGTAATCTCTGTTCGGATTACTGTACGTTCGGATAATCGTGGGTTCGGATTATAGAGGTTATACTGTATAATATTCAAGTAAAGGTAAAGAAGCGCTCTAGGCGTTGCTTCAAGTGAGTTTTTCGAAACGAACATTCCCTAGTAGAAGCTGTTTAGAAGTCATAAAACGCTGAGAAAATACGAAAGAACCAAGTCACCCGATGGACTCGATCACTTTAGGTTACGCTCAATAAGCAAAAATGGCCTCCAAGCCATAATAACAACTTAAAGTGTTTATGACTTCATTACCCTGTTGGTGGGGATGATTGGACACACGGACGGCGGACAGACGGACAGACAAACAGACAGACGGAAACCGGAGACCTATATTTTCGTACAGATTGACATCACGACCCATCGAGAAAATATGAAAGTAACCAGTCGCCCAATGGACTCGATTACAATACTTCCTTAGCTTACGCAACAAAAGAAGCAAACAACATATAGTTATGCCATATTCTATCTAGAACTTCAAACCACGAAGAATCTACACGATATCAAAATAATAAAAAAAACACTCAGAAAGAAAAATATCTCCATTATTAACAGAGCTATTGCTATAAAATTGTCCACAACTTAATATGTATACACCTATTTTTTGCTTATAAAAGACTGAAGGAAAATGTTAAATTCAGCACCGCCCACCCACCCCTTTTCTCATTTTTTTTCCTTATGAAACAAGAAATAAATCTTATAGCAAATAGTATAACAAAAAAATACGATCAACGCTTGTTTTTTACACCCTAAGTTCTATTAGTTCCCACTCTCATTCTACAGAAGAACGTATAATTGAGCACGCCCACCCACCCCACCTCGATTTCAGTAATTAATTTTATCTCTTCAGAACCACTCTGCAGAAGAACATATAATTAACTTATCACTACACTTATCTGTCCCTTTTTTTGTTCATAATTTTGCATTTTAATTCAAAGTCATTTTTCGACTTTTCGAATTCAGCCAACCACTTTGGACTTGAATGCATTCCGCCATGTTAGAACAGCCTCTAATTTGCAGACGATCACATTTTTCATATTTTGTTTGAGCGTGTGTTAATTTATTATTTGATTCAAGTTATTACAACATTTCTACTTATTCTTAAATCGTGTCATGAGTGGTCAATAATTGAAAACAACATGTTTATCAAGAAAAACCCAAGCATCAAGTGACTAAGGCTTTCTACCAGAAATCGTTATTTTTTCCGTAACCCAAGAAGGCCAACGAGAAACCTTACTGTCTCTGGAATTACCAGATGTGTAAACATTTATCGCTCATCATATAATTGGAACACTGTTAGAGAGTATACGCTTGCACAAGTACGTTCTTACATAGTAAAGCCATGTTTAAATTTTTATTTATTATTTTTGCAATCTCGGTACACAATATTTACACTGAAGATATTATTGGTAAGTTATTTATCTTTTTATAAATTTTCAAAAATGAATCCATAAATTAGTTCAGACTCTGCTTTTACTTTTACAGGAAACGCTTGCACCCTCAACGCATCTAACTCTCCAGGAACATGCAAACTGTTAACAGAATGTGAGGAGATTCAAGACGAAGTAGCGTTTGGCCACGAAGTGCCCCAAACTTGTGGCTTCCAAGGAACCCAATCCGTGGTTTGTTGTCCAAAATCTCGTCGACCAGGTTACATCAGCGAAAAAAGTGAGTAAAAAATTTCGACTACATTTAAAATAAAATCAAATTTAAATCGATTTTTAGAATGTAGAGAATACGCTTCCTCTCCGCAAGAGACACAATTCCGCGGACACAAAATTGTAAAGCGCGTCGTTGGAGGAGAGCCGGCTGGCAGAAAAGAGTTTCCGCATATGGCGATATTAGGGTATCAGACCGGGGACCCTGATGAGGGTCCTTGGTGGGTATGTGGAGGGTCGCTTATCAGCGAACAATATATTTTGACAGCCGCACAATGTATGTTTGGAGGGAATCCGTAAGTTCTAAAATACATATTTTTTATAACACTAGGCTGTAGTATTTGAATTGCTAATTTTCAAGAATCTCTCTGTTTTAGTGATGCACCAAACTTTGTGTTGTTAGGTGTCACAAATCTTAACGACACCAATCACAGACAGGAAATTAAAATTGTGAGTAAAGTGGTACATCCAGAATACAAAACTTCCTCTCATTATCACGACATAGCACTCGTAAAACTGGAGAAACCAGTAGAGATCAATTCGTATGCACGTCCTGCGTGTCTTCAAACAAAGTTTGAAATTCCTGCCATAAAAACTATTGCTACTGGATGGGGTACCACAGGAGTTGGAGGAGAACCAAGTGAAAATTTACTAAAAGTAACACTGGATATTGTAGACTACCAGATTTGTAAGAACACTTACAAAACCACTAGAAATCTAAAAAATGGAATTATAGATGACACGCAGATTTGTACAGGAGGTGACGATGGACAGGATACTTGTCAGGTCAGTTAAAAGGTTACTTTTTTGAAGTTTTTATAGACAACGTTTCTAATTTTTTTAGGGCGATGCTGGTGGTCCGCTGCAAATACATCAAAATAACGACTTAATACAGCGTATTTATCATATAGTTGGTGTGACTTCGTTTGGAATAGGATGTGGTAGTAGACCTGCTGTAAATACTCGAGTATCCTACTACATTAAGTGGATTGAAGACACAGTTTGGCCGGAGAACAATCAATGATAAAGTTGAAGGCTTGTCCTATACATGGCCTCGACAGACAAATAACAGCTTTTGAGTAGATTTCTTTTATTACTATTTTAGCCTCGACCAAGTTATATTTATTTTATTCTACCCAGAATATAAGTAGGTGTCGGCCTCGTGGTCTAGTGGTCAAGATACCTGTCCGGAAAGCGGGGGACGTGTGGTTCGATTCCCACCGAGGCAGCAACATTTTTCTTCATTTGTTATTTTTACTAAGTAACTTTTGTAACGATATCTAGGAAAATAAGATACGCATATTTTATTTACTATTTTATTATAAACTATAAAATCAAATTCTATAATTTTTCAAAGAAACAATTTATAAATTTAATAAACTTCGACCAATTGTCACCAAGTTACGTAGGTCGTCCCTTACAACATACAACTTGCATTGTTGATTGCCTATAATCTCGCGGCATAACAACGTTACTGTTTTCCAAATTCGCTACAGCTTTATTTAAAGCAAATCTATCCAGGTTGTTTTGACACAGAAGCAGAATTTTTGTTTCGAGAAAAAAGTTTTCCGAAAATTTCGTGAAAAATTCTCTGTTCCTGAAGCTAACTTTTTAACGACACTCGTTTATAAGTAGGCTTCGGATCTTAGGTTTTTTGCATTTTTATATCTACTTCAGGCATTCCAGGGAAATTTATATATATATTTATTTAACGCCCATTTATTACTACGTAAAATGCCTAATTTACCGTTAGAGACCTAAAGTGTTAATTAGATGACCTAATTGTAAATTTTAAAAGACTTAAAATAGGATTCCACGACCAACGAAGCGAACACGCTTGCACAATAAAGATTTTCCGTGAATTCATTGTTTTGGCTGGCAGATTGTTTAAAAATGGGTTGTAAACGACGTCCTTGAGTTTCATGGTACGGGTTGGTGTCGTCAACTGACAACGCTGGCCTGCATTTCAGTTAGATTATAGCCGGAAGGAGCTGAATCTCTGAAAAAGCATTTTATTTTAGAAGTTTATTGTTAGTGATACTGAGTATCTTTGCGTGTTAGTGAGTGTGCTGGGGCCGGTTTTGATTTTTGTGCATACAGTAAAGAATCCTCAAAATGCCTAAGGTAAAATCATCCATGAAAGATAAAATCAAATTATGGTTTGGGAATAATTTGGACACTAATTCTCAATTTCCTTCTTCAAACAAAGACAATGAGTTATTCTGCAAAGTGTGTGGAAAAGTTGTAAGTAAACATTTAAAATACTCAAGCTTGAATTATGTTCACATTTTTGTTTCCTAGTTTAAGTGCGAAAAAAAATCATACTTTGAACAACACTGCAGTGGCGATGCACATAAAAAGAATGAGAATAAATCCAGTAGACAGACTTTATTAAACATTAGTTGCGACAATGATTTTACGCAATTTTGCACCAATTTATGTTGGGCATTTACCGCAGCAAATATTCCATAGAATAAAGTTAGTTGTCCTGAGTTTAAAAATTTTATGCATAAATATACAGGAAGGCATTTACCCTCAGAAAGCACTCTGAGAAAAAATTATTTACCAAACGATTACGATATAGTGAGCACTAGAATTTTTATTTGAAAACTTTTTAACATAAATTTTATAATTTACAGGTAATTAAACAAATTAGAAATTCTATTGCCAATAATAATATATGGATTAGGATCGATGAGACGACGGACAGATTAGGAAGATGCATAGCCCATTTAGTAATTGGAAAGTTTTCTTCTGAAGAAGCTGGCCGTCCATTTCTACTAGCTTTGAAGCAGATTGATAAAACTATTAGCAACACAATCTCGAGATTTACAGACGAATCCTTGGGTGTGCTATTGATAATTTTGATCATTGAAATTATTATAATTTATTTAATTGTTAATTTGTAGCTTTATTGTGGCCAAAAGGAACTGAACACAAAAAAGTTAAATGGTTTGTATCAGATGGTGCTTCATACATGATCAAAACTGATACTAATTTGAAGGTGTTTTATGAAAATATAACACACTTAACATGTATGGCACATGGGTTACATTTAGTGTCTGAAACAATTAGACTGATTTATCCAGATGTCAATGGGATAATTAGCAATGTTAAGAAAATCTTTTAAAAGCACTAATAAGAATAGAGTTTTATAAAAACAGTTTACCAAATACACCTCTCCCACCTGAACCTGTATTAACCAGGTGGGGCACTTGTATTCAAGCAGCATTGTTTTATGCAGAACACTTTGATGTTTTAAAACAAGTCAATAAATGTATAATGGTTTTTCAGTATCATTCTTATATTGAATATTTTTAGATTGTAATGTCATTTGATGCCACAGATGCACAAAGCATTAAAAAGGCTCAAGAATTCCTGAATAAAGCAAACGTTAAAAATGAACTCTTTTACATTAAAACTCACTTTAAAATTATTGCTGGTGTAATAGAACAATTAGAAAATAAATATAAGTTTAAAATTAAACCAAAATATGGAAATTGTGGAAAAAGTGTATACATCTTTAAAAAACACACCAGGAAACGTGGGGGAAATGGCGTTCCAAAAATTATGTTCTCTATTAAAAAAGAATCCAGGATACGATTTTATATGTTTAGTAAATAACGTAATTTGCGGTAATGGAAATGCTACCAACAATACATACATAAATGAAAACGTAGATTGTTCAATATTTAATTTTGCACCTATCATTTCTTGTGATGTGGAACGCACGTTTTCAAAACTTAAAAGTGTTTTAAGCGATCAAAGGTGTAAATTTACAATCGAAAATTTAGAGAAATATATCGTTTGCTTTTGTAACTCATTTTAAATACCTGAATTAATATTTTATTTTTTGTTCAATGCGACTTGCTTTAATTTGATCGCCATTTTCTTGCGATAACTTAGAATTAGTGGAAGTAACTATAGATCGTTTGTTTATTTAATAATTTTTTTGTTTGTTACACAAAATATTTGTTTCTATAATGTTTTGTTTAATGTTTATTTTTTAAATATATATTTTGTTAATGTATGCTTTTTCGTTGAGCAAATATTTTTTCCTCCAGGTTTTTAACCTAAACTAAGATTTTTATAATCTAACTTGTCAATTTTGGGACCTTAAATCCGAAGCCTATATCATAAGATAAAATTAGTTCTTGAGACTAGCATTTAAAGGAAATCAGGAAGTCGCACATTAACAAATCGAACTCCATAAGAACGTATAAGTGTATTGAGCGACTTGCTGATGTTGAAATTTTCACCATGGTTTTGTTCCCAACAGTCATTATTTTTTCCTTCATCTACAAGGTCAAAAAGAAATCTTGTCCCTGGAATTACCAGACGTGTAAATACCCACTGCCTGTGTTATAAAACGAGCACTGGTAGAAAGTGCACTGCACGAGTGTGATTATTGAATAAGTTGCTAAAATGTTTAAACTTCTAGTTATAGTATTTGCAATCACCATAAACCAAGTTTATGGGGAAAACATAATTGGTAAGTTAAATGAAATCAAATTATGCCATCATTTATAATGTATAGACAGTGTCCCTTTTTTCTTCTTCTTGAAAGTAAGCAGTTCAATTACAGGAAACCTCTGCACCCTCAAGTCGTCTAACTCTTCAGGAGTATGCAAACTATTAAAGGAGTGTGAGGCGGTTCAAGACGAAGTAACGTCTGGTCACAATGCGCCCCAAAATTGCGGCTACCAAGGAATCCAATCCGTAGTTTGTTGCCCAAACTCTCGTCGGCCAGGAGATATCACCGAAAGAAGTATGTAAAAAAGCAGATTTTGTGTACTTACAAAACAAACCAAATTCAAATTGCGTTTTAGAATGTAGAGAATATTCTTCGTATATACAAGAGAAACAATTATGTGGACATAAAATTGTCCAGCTGATTGTTGGAGGACAACGACCTGCTGAGCTAAAAAGTTTCCGCATATGGCGGTGTTAGGATATCAGAACGAAGATTCTGGGAATCTTACGTGGTTATGTGGAGGATCACTTATCAGTGAAGAATATATTTTGACAGATGCACATTGCTTCCTTCCAGGTGGCTAGTAAGTTTCAAAATAATTAATTAATAAGTCAAAAAATATTAGTAGTATTTGGAGTATTGAATTTGTGTCGAACTATTTCAGTCTTGAACCAAAATCAGTGTTGTTGGGGGTCACAGATGTTAACGACACTAACCACAGACAAGAAATAAAAATAGCAAGTATAGTGGTACATCCAGAATTTAAATTTACTACCCGTCACAACGACATAGCACTTTTAAAATTGGAAACACCCGTAGAGTTAAATTCTTATGTTCACCCGGCTTGTCTCAACACACACTTCGACATTCCCGTTTCGCGAGTTATTGCAACTGGATGGGCATATACACGGTATGGAGGAAGCGACAGTGAGAGAGTATTTAAAATAACACAAGATGTTGTAGACTATCAAACTTGTAATAACAGGTACAAAAGCGTGAAAAGGCTAATTGTAAATGACACGCAAATTTGCACAAGCGACAAGATTGGAGGAAAGGCTTGTCAGGTTAGTTAAAAATGAATAATAATAATAATCAGTAATATGAGAGAAGACAAAAATATGTCTGACTTTTTAGAGTAATTCTGGTGGTCCGCTCCAAATATATCGAATTGACGACGCTACCTCTTGTATGTATGATATAGTCGGCTTAACTTCAAATTTCGGCCAATTCTTGACTTTTTTCCAGAATTAGTTAATTCATTCAGTGCATTGAAATATCGCAATTTTTAAAAATTTAAAAAAATTCAATACAACACGTGCAGAAAGAAGATTTTGAGTCATTTTTGCATCGACTTCAAGTAATCTCTGTTCGGATTACTGTACGTTCGGATAATCGTGGGTTCGGATTATAGAGGTTATACTGTATAATATTCAAGTAAAGGTAAAGAAGCGCTCTAGGCGTTGCTTCAAGTGAGTTTTTCGAAACAAACATTCCCTAGTAGAAGCTGTTTAGAAGTCATAAAACGCTGAGAAAATACGAAAGAACCAAGTCACCCGATGGACTCGATCACTTTAGGTTACGCTCAATAAGCAAAAATGGCCTCCAAGCCATAATAACAACTTAAAGTGTTTATGACTTCATTACCCTGTTGGTGGGGATGATTGGACACACGGACGGCAGACAGACGGACAGACAAACAGACAGACGGAAACCGGAGACCTATATTTTCGTACAGATAGACATCACGACCCATCGAGAAAATATGAAAGTAACCAGTCGCCCGATGGACTCGATTACAATACTTCCTTAGCTTACGCAACAAAAGAAGCAAACAACATATGGTTATGCCATATTCTATCTAGAACTTCAAACCACGAAGAATCTACACGATATCAAAATAATAAAAAAAAACACTCAGAAAGAAAAATATCTCCATTATTAACAGAGCTATTGCTATAAAATTGTCCACAACTTAATATGTATACACCTATTTTTTGCTTATAAAAGACTGAAGGAAAATGTTAAATTCAGCACCGCCCACCCACCCCTTTTCTCATTTTTTTTCCTTATGAAACAAGAAATAAATCTTATAGCAAATAGTATAACAAAAAAATACGATCAACGCTTGTTTTTTACACCCTAAGTTCTATTAGTTCCCACTCTCATTCTACTCTAGAAGAACGTATAATTGAGCACGCCCACCCACCCCACCTCGATTTCAGTAATTAATTTTATCTCTTCAAAACCACTCTGCAGAAGAACATATAATTAACTTATCGCTACACTTATCTGTCCCTTTTTTTGTTCATAATTTTGCATTTTAATTCAAAGTCATTTTTCGACTTTTCGAATTCAGCCAACCACTTTAGACTTGAATGCATTCCGCCATGTTAGAACAGCCTCTAATTTGCAGACGATCACATTTTTCATATTTTGTTTGAGCGTGTGTTAATTTATTATTTGATTCAAGTTATTACAACATTTCTACTTATTCTTAAATCGTGTCATGAGTGGTCAATAATTGAAAACAACATGTTTATCAAGAAAAACCCAAGCATCAAGTGACTAAGGCTTTCTACCAGAAATCGTTATTTTTTCCGTAACCCAAGAAGGCCAACGAGAAACCTTACTGTCTCTGGAATTACCAGATGTGTAAACATTTATCGCTCATCATATAATTGAAACGCTGTTAGAGAGTAGACGCTTGCACAAGTACGTTCTTACATAGTAAAGCCATGTTTAAATTTTTATTTATTATTTTTGCAATCTCGGTACACAATATTTACACTGAAGATATTATTGGTAAGTTATTTATCTTTTTATAAATTTTCAAAAATGAATCCATAAATTAGTTCAGACTATGCTTTTACTTTTACAGGAAACGCTTGCACCCTCAACGCATCTAACTCTCCAGGAACATGCAAACTGTTAACAGAATGTGAGGAGATTCAAGACGAAGTAGCGTTTGGCCACGAAGTGCCCCAAACTTGTGGCTTCCAAGGAACCCAATCCGTGGTTTGTTGTCCAAAATCTCGTCGACCAGGTTACATCAGCGAAAAAAGTGAGTAAAAAATTTCGACTACATTTAAAATAAAATCAAATTTAAATCGATTTTTAGAATGTAGAGAATACGCTTCCTCTCCGCAAGAGACACAATTCCGCGGACACAAAATTGTAAAGCGCGTCGTTGGAGGAGAGCCGGCTGGCAGAAAAGAGTTTCCGCATATGGCGATATTAGGGTATCAGACCGGGGACTCTGATGAGGGTCCTTGGTGGGCATGTGGAGGGTCGCTTATCAGCGAACAATATATTTTGACAGCAGCACATTGTATGTTTGGAGGGAATTCGTAAGTTCTAAAATACATATTTTTTATAACACTAGGCTGTAGTATTTGAATTGCTAATTTTCAAGAATCTCTCTGTTTTAGTCATGCACCAAACTTTGTGTTGTTAGGTGTCACAAATCTTAACGACACCAATCACAGACAGGAAATTAAAATTGTGAGTAAAGTGGCACATCCAGAATACAAAACTTCCTCTCATTATCACAACATAGCACTCGTAAAACTGGAGAAACCAGTAGAGATCAATTCGTATGCACGTCCTGCGTGTCTTCAAACAAAGTTTGAAATTCCTGCCATAAAAACTATTGCTACTGGATGGGGTACCACAAGATTTAGAGGAGAACCAAGTGAAAATTTACTAAAAGTAACACTGGATATTGTAGACTACCAGATTTGTAACAACACTTACAAAACCACTACAAATCTAAAAAATGGAATTATAGATGACACGCAGATTTGTACAGAAGGTGACGATGGACAGGATACTTGTCAGGTCAGTTAAAAGGTTACTTTTTTGTAGTTTTTATAGACAACGTTTCTAATTTTTTTAGGGCGATGCTGGTGGTCCGCTGCAAATATATCAAAATAACGACTTAATACAGCGTATTTATCATATAGTTGGCGTGACTTCGTTTGGAATAGGATGTGGTGGTAGACCTGCTGTAAATACTCGAGTATCCTACTACATTAAGTGGATTGAAGACACAGTTTGGCCGGAGAACAACCAATGATAATAGTTATTTCAAGTTGAAGGCTTGTCCTATACATGGCCTCGACAGACAAATAACAGCTTTTCAGTAGATTTCTTTAATTACTATTTTAGCCTCGACCAAGTTATATTTATTTTATTCTACCCAGAATATAAGTAGGTGTCGGCCTCGTGGCCTAGTGGTCAAGATACCTGTCCGGAAAGCGGGGGACGTGTGGTTCGATTCCCACCGAGGCCGCAACATTTTTCTTCATTTGTTATTTTTACTAAGTAACTTTTGTCACGATATCTAGGAAAATAAGATACGCATATTTTATTTACTATTTTATTATAAACTATAAAATCAAATTCTATAATTTTTCAAAGAAACAATTTATAAATTTAATAAACTTCGACCAATTGTCACCAAGTTACGTAGGTCGTCCCTTACAACATACAACTTCTATTGTTGATTGCCTATAATCTCGCGGTATAACAACGTTACACCTTTACTTGAATCAAATCTATCCAGGTTATTTCGACACTTGAAGCAGAATTTTTGTTTCGAGAAAAAAGTTTCCCGAAAATTTTCTTGAAAAATTCTCTGTTCCTGTTCCTAAAGCTAACTCTTTAACGACACTCGTTTATAACTAGGCTTCGGATCTTAGGTTTATTTAACGCCCATTTATTACTACCTAAAATGCCTAATTTATCGTTAGAGACCTAAAGTGTTAATTAAACGACCTAATTGTAAATTTTAAAAGACCAACGAAGCGGACATGCTTGCACAATAGAGATTTTCCGTGAATTCATTGTATTGGCTGGCAGATTGTTTAAAAATGGGTTGTAAACAACGTCCTTGAGTTTCATGGTACGGGTTGGTGTCGCCATCTGACAACGCTGGCGTGCATTTCATTTAGATTATAACCGGAAGGAGGTGAATCTCTGAAAAAGCATTTTATTTTAGAAGTTTATTGTTAGTGATAGTGAGTGTCTTTGCGTGTGCTGGGGCCAGTTTTGATTTTTGTGCATACAGTAAAGAATCCTCAAAATGTCTAAAATAAAATCATCCATGAAAGATAAAATCAAATTCTGTATAGGGAATAATTTGGACACTAATTTTCAATTTCCTTCTTCAACCAAAGACAATGAGTTATTCTGCAAAGTGTGTGGAAAAGTTGTAAGTAAACATTTAAAATACTGAAGCTTGAATTATGTTCACATTTTTGTTTCCTAGTTAAAGTGCGAAAAAAAATCACACTTTGAACAACACTGCAGTGGCGATGCACATAAAAAGAACGAGAATAAATCCAGTAAACAGACTTTATTAAACATTAGTTCCGACAATGATTTTACGCAGTTTGCACCGATTTATGTAGGGCATTTACCGCAGCAAATATTCCATGGAATAAAGTTAGTTGTCCCGAGTTTAAAAATTTTATGCATAAATATACAGGAAGGCATTTACCCTCAGAAAGCACTCTGAGAAAAAATTATTTACCAAACAATTACGATATGGTGAGCACTAGAATTTTTATTTAAAACTTTTTAACATAAATTTTATAATTTACAGGTTAAACCCCTGGTGTGGGGTCGTCAAAACAGCCCCGCGGACAAGCTCCCGCGTGTTTGTGCCGTGCGTGGAGACCCGTAAGGTGGGATGAAGGAATCCTGGAGGTTGAGCCCCCCTTGGTGCAGTGTGTCACCAAGGCTGGGCAACACGCCTCTTTGGCCTGGATTTCCACCAAAACGGGAGGTCGAGACTAACCCATCTCAGATCAATCGGCTGTGTCGTCGGGTCAGACCGCCGACAGGGTGAGTCCTTGGGGGAAGTGTAGTCTGAGCACGAGTAGCCTCACTAGTTGAGGCTGCGTACTGCAGGATGAGCTTCCCTGGGGGCTATATCCTTCTGCTAGCCCTGACGTCGAAGTTCGGCGTCCCCTTGTT